CTAACCAGTCCAGTAATCAACGTTCGAATATCACAAACCATTAGAAAAAAAAATCAATTGAGCAAAAAGAGACAGAATTGAAAACGCAGAGATTAAGCGGAGAATGGGAGTGCAATCAGACATAATTGACTATATAGAGGAGAAGAGACTATCCTGGTACGGCCACGTCAGAAGAGCGGACAGAGGACGCTGGATAAACAAAATCACAGAATGGAACCCGATCGGAAGAAGAAAGAGAGGAAGACCCGAAGGTCATTCAGAGACGAAATCGACGAGGCTATGGAAAAAGAAAACCCTGCGAGATGGAGACTGGAATGACAGGGAAAATTGTAGAAAACGGTTGATTGAAGGAAGACAGTGAAAACTGTGGAAATCCTTCGTAGTAGTAGTAGTTATGCATTAGCCGCTTCACATTCTTTTCCGAGTAAGGCACAAGCAATTGTATTTAGTTGAATCGATAATGCTGATTTGCAGGATTATCTCATTCCTTTGGGCACAATCATCAACTCAAAAAATATTATTTTTTCATCTAGATTATCTCATAATAGAATCTGCATGTATTTGGCAAACAAAACCGTAGTAGATAACTTGATGACACAACATGGCTCTATAGAAGTACTGGCGAAGTTGTAACAGCACGAAGACTTGTCTCTCCAGCAGAAAGACTAGTGTTTTCTGGAGTTTGCCCGTCAATTCCTCATTAAGTATTAGTTGAAGAATTACAGAATATCGGTTTAAAGCTTATTTCCGCAATACCATTACTGAAAATTAGCTCGACTTTCCCCGAATATATTGAGCTTTCGGAAGCAATTTTGTATAATCTCTATAACATCACCAATTGCAAATTATATTCTAATAAATTTCGATCAATCACCTTACTGCATATTTTTGTCACAAGGTACACTCACCTGCTTTATTTGCAAAAATACAGGACACATATCCCAATGCAATAACAGTTCAGTAACGCAATCAACTTATATTGAGTCAAACAATGAAGTACCAAATCAAACAGCTTCAACAATTATACTACGCAAGGTACCAAACACCCAGCAGTCATCAAGTTATCCATGATCAAATCCGAGCATATCAAATACACCTACAAATCTGCATGAGAAAGAAATTACTAATGCTCCTACTCATAGTAACACTTTCAATTAACCTCATTCAGTGGCAATACTGTTTTCACAAACTTCGGAAGCAATACAATCCAATCTATCAGCTCCTTTTCTATTAGATACAACTGCAGAAAATTCTAATAAAACTGATACATTAAGACAATTTTCTAAAACAACCATTTCAACCAATCTTACAAATAAATCTTGCTTCAGCACTTCCAAATGTAATAAAGCCACAGCATCTAAGTGAAAACTCTAATAGCAATTACGAAAACGCAAGTTCTTCCATAAAACGCAGTATTAGTGAGATCGTCACGCCTCCTTCAGACTCAGTAATTTCATCAGAAAATCTGTTTGCAAAACCAAAACCCTCTAAACCAAAAAAACCACTGTCATCTAAAGTCCCATCTACACGGGAAACTCTTGAAAATATCATTGATAATCATACCCACCATTCGTTTTAAATTACCACCAATTGTCCTTACTGATTGATAATGTTCAAGGCTCCCCGACACTATTAGCGTCGTCAAAGAATTTACAACTGATATGGCTGGTTTACTCCATCTTTTACAAAGCAGCTATCAATATGCAAATGATAGATCTACAAAAAGCAAGTTTACAAAACTTCAAAAGAAACTACACAACCATTTAGAGAAAGAGATTTCTGACTTAGATAGTGACTCTTCTGTAGACAATTGTTCAGTATCATCTAACTCCGAATCTGTTAACAACATTCAACTCGATACTTCAGTGGAACATTGATGGATTTTTCCATCGTCTCCCTATGCTACAGCTTCTTTTATCTGAATATTCTCCAGATATTATTTCTTATGAAACATGGAAGAAGCGTCCAATTTTTATGGATTCCCTCACACGTCGGAATAACAGGAAATGAAGAAGCTGACAGGACTGCACGAAAGGCAATTTTAAGTGATTTGTCAGAGCCGATAGACAAGTGTGTTTCCAGTGACTTAGAAGCTTATTTTAAAAATAAAGTGTGGTGTTTGTGGCGAAATGAGTGGTCTCAAACTAATTCCAATCTAAATAAAATCAAAAATAATGTGTCTCAGTGGTTTCCATCGTCGCGCAATAGACGAGAACAAATTGCGCGTTTACGTCTAGGACATACCAGATTAACGTACTCCTACCTTTTCACAAAGAAAAATCCACCTATATGTGATCAGTGTAACGTCCGATTAACAGTCGAACATTTTTTAACAATTTGTAGTAAATATGACCAAGAAAAACAGCGCTACAAGATCCCAAACGCTCTACTACAGGCTCTAGGTCAAAACTGTTCCTGTAACAATATAGTGAATTATCTCAGATCCATAAACATTTTGTACAATCTGTAGGTGTTTAACTTTGTTATTTATATTTTGTCCGTCGCTAATAACCTTTTGGTGGATGCGACATGTTTTTCTAATAAAAAAAAATCTTTTACAAACTTATTAAAGACGTCAAAAGTTAAAACATTGATAAAATTCCCATTATAAACACATGTATTACAATGACGGTAACTCTCATTACTACGTCGACAGTAGGGAAGTGGCCTGCACAATATCATACCTGTTATTCTTTGTCCCATGGAGTTTAATAGAAAGTGACTTAAAAATGATACAATTCATAGTAGCAAGAAAATTAATTATATCTTCATAAAGGTAATAGATGCAGTCTAATAATGTCCAAAGCAGAGCGTTCAAAGGAATTTGTCGCATATGTTTGTTTAACATTCTAAATACCACGCATATAATATCTAATTAATGTTGGCAGAAAAGACGAAGTTTAAAATGAACAATTAACTGCGATAGGCACCAACAACACGACAACGTTTCTGTACGTACTACTAGGTATACATAGGAATTCGTAAAATATTCAAACCAAAACTGTTTCGGTGTTTCGCTTAAATTGCTTTAATGGAGAAACGTAATGCGTGGTAGTTGAGCCTGAATTTCACGTGGAATGTGAATACACTTCGTACGTTGCTAAAATAGCAAGCTGTTGTAAATTTAACGGTAATCGGTTTTTTTAATGTAGCTATGGACACATTTTACCATATTCACTATTTGCAGGCCGGGAATTTCAATATACCATCTGGCTCTTGCATTCTTGTAACTGAAAAATGCTTTTGTTTTTTTTTTGTTATTTTAGTTTTTTGGTGATTTATAAAGCATATTGTAGTTTAAAAATATAAAAAAGTTCAAACTTTTGATATAGTCTTGTAGAGCGGATTTTTAGATTTTTTTTTTGGTT